TCAATAAAATATATTTTTAAATATATATATATATATTTTTTTTTAAATAAAAGTAGGCAACAGAAAAATTGAAGAAATAAGGATCTGAATAATCACATAGAAGAGTGAGTTAATTTTCTCCATCACTAGGAAAATCTCTAACAAGTAAAGGAGTGGTTTTAATGGTTGTCAAATAATTTTAAGCATTCATCATTAACGTACTAAGCTAATTGTAAACATTCCTCTCAGATACACCATTTCTAAGTAGAAAGCTTAATTTAAATTTTCACAATTTAAATAAACTGATTGTTGTGTGTGTGTGTGTGTGTGTGTGTGTGTGTTTGTTGTTTGTTTGTTTTTGCCATTACACATTCTCAAAAAAAAAAAAGTATATTTTACACAACTTTCAATAAAGGGTTGGGACAGTCAATTGTAAATTCTGTATATTGGGGGATATGGCTGTCTGCAAGTAGATTGAATTCCCTCTGAAGGAAGGCCTTCTTCGTCTTTGCACCCCAGAATCTACTGTAGCACTTAACATTTAGTAGGTACTGAAAAGATGCACATGAAAGTGAACTTGGGACCTCTGACTTCTGATCTTCTCAAAGGCTTGATCATTCTCTTGTGGCCTGAAAGAGTACACTATCTCCAGGGGTTTAAATCTCACTGGAAAGAACGCAAATATCCGAGTCTAACTGAAATACCTCAATTGTGCAAAGAAGACCTTACTCATGTAACTTGGTAATGTACCATTCAATGAGAATTTTCTCTCTCCTGCAGCCCTGTTTGTAACTTATTTTTTAGACTGGAAAATTTTAAAGATATAAAAAGACGTATAATGAAGCCTATGTACCTATAACCCACTTTTTCTCTCCTGGGATTATTTTGAAGTGATCCTAAGCATTGTTTTGACTTTAAATATTTCTAATATTTATAATTCTAATAATTCTTTTTAAAATAAAATTTAACCATAATAAAATGTTTACACCTAAAAAATTAACAATGATTTCTTAGCAGCAGGAAACTCCAGTCACTATCTAGATGTCCCCAATTGACTTAGAATGCTTGTTTTTTTGTTTGTTTCTTTGTTTGTTTTCTATTACTTAGAATGTTTTGTCTTAGAATATTTTTGTTTGAATCAGAATCAAACTATGATCAATACACTGCAATTAATTGAGTTAGCTATGCCTCCTCAGACTTAGGAAGATTCCCTCCCCACCTCTTCCTCTTTTATTTCCCTTGCAAATTTTGTTGTTGTCATTGTTGAGTAAACCTCTTTCCTTGTTCTATAGTTTCCCATAGAGAATATTCCTCTAAAGATTAAAATCAAATTACTGTTTCACAGGCACTTAGAATACTTACTTACCATATGGTTATGCCTCTAATTTGATACAGAGTTATAGTCATTTGTTGTTTTTTAATATCTATTTTTAGGAATTATTTTAATTTAATTTTTATTTTATAAATATGTAAAACACATACACGATTCCAAAATCAAAACTATAAAACAAGATATATTCAAAGAAGATAAACGTCTATCCCTCTCCCCATCCTACTCTCCCCACTAGTAACCATTTTGCTTAATTTCATAGTTAATCCTACTATTGTTTTTTCTCCGGAGAGCTGGAGCCCCATGGGGAAGGCATTCTCTACAGCTTTTGCAGATGTGGACTCCTTCTGCAACGTGGGAGCCCTGGCTCAGCACTTTTATAGCTGCATGGATGGAGTTCCTCTTCTTGGAGTGCATTAAACAAGCCTCTTAGCTCTCACAGTAAGCCGTGTACTCCGACTTAGTCTTTATTAATAATAAAGTTGAATTGAATCTCCCATTAACCTTACTCCTTGTCTTATTCCCCAACTTATTCAGAAACTGGATGGCAAAGAGGGCTCCATGTATTGGGATTCCAATACTTATGACTATTTGGTATCTTAATTCAAAACAATATGCTTATATTTTTATTTTTTTAGTGTGTCAGCTTTTGGAGTAATTTGTTGATTTTCATAAGTAATATGGGTTTTAATTCACTAGCTCCTTTCCTCCAAGAACTTAATATATATATATATTTTATTTTTAGCTCTACTACTATAATTTTTGTAACCAGAAAGAACTGTTTTCTACTCTTAATTCATCTAATTCAGATAGTGTTGCTCAGCTCTCCAATTTACAAAATGAGTAGTTTCCTACATCTTTTTTAAATCCTTATCCAATGATTTATTGATTTTTTTTTTTTTTTTTTTTTAGAGAGAGAGAGAGGGAGAGAGAAAGATAAGAGAAAAACATCAATTGATGACTATTTGTCATACTCGCCTCAATCGGGAATAGAACCTGCAACTTAGGTATGTGCCACGACTGGGAATCGAACCCGAAACTTTTCTGTGTACGGGACCATGCTCCAAACACCTGAGCCATCAAACCAAGGTAGTTCCTTCCATTTTACTCCAACTCTCCTCCTACTCCCAGCTTACCATCTCCCAGCTTATCATCTCTACCTTTTATTTTTATCCCATTTAAATGTAAATATACTAATTTTATTTCATGTAGATTTATATGCATGCAGTCCTATAATTAAGTGTTCTAAACTACTTAAGAGCTGAATTATGAAAACTGAAAAACAATTATAAATATTTAAAATATGATTAAGGAAACGCTATTCTTAGCGGAACAAATTATGTGATTGGACCCACCAAGAACATAACATAATCCTCTTCAATAAACCTGTGCTGCTTGAAGGAACCTTTCCCAATGTTAGGGTCAAATGGATATTCTTTCCCTACAGTCCATCAATCACTTAGTATCATGTCACATTTTTTGTTTGCTTGGTATTTACACAATGAGCTTTATACAGACTGTTTTCCCCCATTGTCTTGGTCTGCTCAGGCTTCCCATAACAAAATACCACAGACTAGGTGGTTTAACAAACTTTTGTTTTTCTCACAGTCTGGAAATCCAAGATCAAGGTGTCAGCAGAGTTGGTTTCTGGTTAGGCCCCTCTTTCTAGAATGCAGATGGCCACTTTCTCACTGTGTCCTCACATGGCCTTTCCTTATGTATGGGTAGAGAAAGGAAAATCTCACCAGTGATCTTCCTTATAAGGACACAAGTCCTCTCGAATTAGAGCCCCACTTTTATGATCTCATTTAACCTTAATTACCACCCTAAAGACCCCGTTTCCAAGTGCAATCACCTCGGAGGTCAGGGTTTCCACATATGAATTTTGGAAGTATATAATACCCATCTTTGTTCAAAATCTACACATTTAGTAAATATCAAAATAGTTATTCTCCTATGTTCATAAATTTAAAAAGCATCATGTATCAAGTGACTAAAAACTAACCTGGGGATGCCCCAAAACTAAACCATGAACTTTTCTGCTCTGCTAAATTTGCAATAAATTGTAAAACTCCCAGGCCAATTAATCTTGTTTTCAGAGGAAAACTCAAATGTTATCTGCCTTCTATAGCTCCCCATTTGATGATTGAGGACTGGGCAGTTGTTCCTCAAAGGCATTGGAGACTATTCCCTATGCCCCACCCTTTTCTTTCCACCACTCCTATATCCTAATGAGTAATAGGTATTTTGACTGACATCCAGGAATGAAGAGGTGATGACTCAGATCCCTCTTTATAAGACCACAGAGTGAAAGGCATCTGAGAGGATATCCACTTGTCCAAAGTGTCTCATTTTATACCTGAGAAAACTAAAACTTAGACAATCTGGATGATGTTTTATGCCCAAACCACACAGCAGAGTATATTAGAACCTAAGACTTCTGACGTTTTGTTCTGTGTCTTGTCCACAATACTAGGATGCTTTTCAATTACCCTCAATGAGCAGAAAGACTCTGGAATTCCGGGAAGCTGTCTGATTGTTAGGAATAAACAGCCATTCAACCCTAGGTAAGAACTGTAAATTGTGTATTCCAAAGTTTAATATCTAATGACTGTCGAGAGCTGAATCAGAAAAAGCTGAATTGCCAGGTGTTGAGGTGATCAATTAAGATAACAAGTCAAACTGAAACTAACAACTAAAGCTTTATTCACTTACCAGGATAGTTTAATCATAAGGCAAAACAGGAAAAAGCACTGGCTCCCTTAGTGTTCCACACACCCTCCCCACCGTCTCCCTTCCCTCTCCCCTCCACACCCAATCAGCTTTTAGGCAAAGGTCAGCTCTATCGGTGCAGATGGGGGATTGTCTGACTGGTAAGGAAAACCTGGGATGGGGGGTGGAAATAAGGAGTGGGAAAGAACTGAACCCTGGGAGTGTAGAGTGTCTTGAAGGCCATTTAGAAGAAGGCCTCTGAATGGAGAAACTTGGCCTTGGAATGTAGATATGTGTAAAAACATGGCCAGTCTGTGTGGGGCTAAATCTTTATAACTCCCTCCAGACTGTACTCCAAGTTCCCTGAGAGGTCTGCCAGATAAAGTGTGGTAATTGCCTATGATGGGCCTTGAAAGATTGCACATAGGCTTTTGGCCTGGAGCCAGACTCCTCAGGTACATACGTACCAGCATCTTTTCATGTCCCTAGAGCTGTTTACAAATAGTCTATAACTCCCTAGAGATGACTGCTGCTTAAGGTATAGTTTGGTTATCATATTTAACTACAGGCAGGATAAAGTTAATTAACACCAAATAATGTCCAATTATAGCATCTTTGTTGTCTACACCAAAGATGTTATAATTGGACATTATTATGCATTTATTATAAGTGTTTTCTGTGTTCAGATATAGAGCTGGGCATTTGGTAAGGCCTCACTCAATACATGCTTATATTTCTTGTTGGTTATATAAAGCTCTGAATATAATTCATGGCCCATTGTATTTTTTTTTTGCCTGTACTATATGCTTTTAAATGTATTTCCTAATTTCGTTGCCCCATTCATTGTACTCTATATGGTTTTCATTATAATCTCAGATCTTTCTTGGTAGAAGTAATCTTAGTAGAAATAAAGAAGGTAAGATATTAAATATATGTCGACTGGCATATAAACAGTTGTGGTTGATCACATCGATCTAAGATGGCGACTGTGGAACCAGAAACCACCCCTACTCCTAACCCCCCGCCTACAGAAGAAGAGAAAACAGAATCTAACCAGGAGGTTGCTAATCCAGAACACTATATTAAACATCCTTTACAGAACAGATGGGCACTCTGGTTTTTTAAAAATGATAAAAGCAAAACTTGGCTAGCAAACCTTCGACTGTTCTCTGAGTTTGATACTGTTGAAGACTTTTGGGCTCTGTACAACCATATCCAGTTATCTAATAATTTAATGCCTGGCTGTGACTACTCACTCTTTAAGGATGGTATTAAACCTATGTGGGAAGATGAGAAAAACAAACGAGGAATTACGATGGCTAATTACGTTGAACAAACAGCAGAGACGAAGTGACCTTGATCGCTTTTGGCTAGAGACACTGCTGTGCCTTATTGGAGAATCTTTTGATGACCACAGTGATGATGTAAGTGGAGCCGTTGTTAATGTTAGAGCTAAGGGTGATAAGATAGCAATATCGACTACTGAATGTGAAAACAGAGATGCTGTTACACATATAGGGAGGGTATACAAGGAAAGGTTAAGACTTCCTCCAAAGATAGTGATTGGTTATCAGTCCCATGCAGACACAGCTACTAAGACCGGCTCCACCACTAAAAATAGGTTTGTTGTTTAAGAAGACACCTTCTGAGTATTCTCATAGGAGACTATGCCAAGCAATCGAGATTTGGGAGCTGAACCAAAGCCTCTTCAAAAGCAGAGTGGACTGCATTTAAATTTGATTTCCATCTAAATGTTGCAAAGATATAAGAGAAGTCTCATTCACCTTTGTCTTGTACTTCTGTGTTCGTCTTCCTTTTTTTTTTTGGCTAGAATGTCCACTTACCCAATCAACGAATTACAGTACACATCATCCCCAGAATCCATTAATGTGTTTCTGGCCCACTCTGTAATAGCTTAGGAGAATTATTATTACAAACATATTTTACCCATCCACAATGTTAAAAAAGAACTTGCATTTCTACACCTTACAGGAAAAGAATTCTGTTTATGTTCTATTGTATGCAGGAACATATTTTGCTGGTTTGAAAGAGTATGATGCATACAGTTTTCTAGTAATTTTCTTTGTTTCTTTTTACAGCATTGTCTTTGCTGTAACTCTTGCTGGTGGCTGCTAGATTTTAATTTATTTGTTTCCCTACTTGATGACATTAGTGATTCTGATTTCACTTTTTCATTTGTTTTGCTTTTGTTTTTCCCCCTCATGTAATATTGGTGAAGGATTCCACACAAAGGTGGAGTAAACATTAATTTTGGGCATTCTTTGATAATTTTTTGTTTTTTTGTAACTACAAAGCTTTGCTACAAATTTATGCATTTCATTCAAATCAGTGATCTATGTGTGATTTCCTAAACATAATTGTAGATTATAAAAAAATATAACATCATAATTACATTCCTAATTAGAATTAGTATGTCTGTTTTTGTATCTTTATGCTGTATTTTAACAATTTGTATTACTTAGGTTATTTTGCTTTGGTTAAAAAATGGCTCAAGTAGAAAAGCGATCTCATTCATATTAAGACAGTGTACAAAACTGTAAATAAAATGTGTACAGTGAATTGTCTTTAAAAAATTTTAAAAAAATAAACAGTTGTGGTTGCTTCCTGAGGAATTTCATCCTAAAAAAAGATATATGAAACCCTCCTTCCCTATTTCCCAGGAATAGGGAAGGAGGGTTTCCTATATCTTTTTCCCTGGCCTCAACCCAATTCCTAAACTTGAACAGAAAATATCTGGAGAAAAAGAGAGGAAAGTCACAGCCTGAACCAAGCCAAAGCATGTTTCCACCCATGTGGCAGAATTCAAAACATGTTAAAGCAAATTTTGGTCTGAAAATGTGTATTTTAAAAGGTTGGATATTGAAAGTGGAAAGGAAATTGAATCGCAGAGAGAGATTGAAGTATGGTGTGAAATTTCAGTAATTATGCCCATTAACTGAAACAATATTTGCTTAGGATTCCTTTGCAGTACTGCCGGTGGCTTAGCCAGCAGAACAGGAATGTGCTGGCCAGGAGCGCCCTAATGACCTTTTACCTACCACATTTTCAAAGCTGAGACATCTCCAGCTATGCCTTCCTATATTAGGTGTATTTACAACTTTCCTCTATTTAAATAAATAACAGAGAATGTGAGTAGATGGATTAAAGTGGAAACATGTTACAAAAGAGAGAGCAAGCACGAGGCCTCATCTTTCTGCTTCTCCCTAGCTCTGCCTCAGGCTTTGTTTTAAAAATGTGTTTTTTATTATTATCCTAATTTGATATAACAGCAAAATTATTATAATATTTCTACTGGTGTGTCCTATGAGATTTATTTTGTTTGAGGGGTTTTGTGTTGTGGTTTTGTTTTGTTTTGTTTTGTTTTGAATACTTAAATAAGCTTGGATAGAAAAGATAAGAAAATTAACTCTTTTAAAAAATATATATTTTATTGATTTTTTACAGAGAGGAAGGAAGAGAGATAGAGAGTTAGAAACATCGATGAGAGAGAGTCATCGATCAGCTACCTCCTGCACACCTCCTACTGGGAATGTGCCCTCAACCAAAGTACATGCCCTTGACCTGAATCAAACCCGGGATCTTTTAGTCCGCAGGCTGAGGCTCTATCCACTGAGCCAAACCGGTTTCGGCGAAAATTAGCTCTTAATGTCCTAAATTTTTGTTGATTTAAAAATTTCATAGGTATTATTTAAAAGCAGGCCTCCACTATTTGCTTGCCTTGTTTTTTTTGTTTTTGTTTTTGTTTTGTTTTTTGTTGTTGTTTTGTGTGTGTGTTTTTTTATGACTGACTTAAAAGTCTTCCCCACTACCTTTCTCTTTAATTTTCTGCCTATTTCCTTTACAATTCTTTCGTCGTCTATCTAGCTCAGTCTGCTTCTATATTCAGGCAGCCAACAGTATAAATACTGTAAATATATTTGGCCAGACTTTGTTTTCTACCTTCATGTTGGGGCTATCGAGAGCAAGAATCTAGAAGAGTAACTTTTTCATCTTCTAAAAAAAAAAGTCCATGTTGTACTAATTGACTTACCTTTTTAAAAATCCAAGTTCAGCTTGCCTACGTTATGACTTTAATCACAGCTTCCTTTGAACAAAGTCAAATCCCAGCTGTACAAACGACTTTTAGGCTGGAAATAGGCAGTGCTATTGCCTGGATGACATTGCTCTTCCTGCTCCATCAGCAGATCCAAACACGCCCACTCCCTGCCCTGCCCTTCTCAGCAATGGTCAGAATTTCACCCCTTCCACATGAGGCAGGAAGTAGAGCCTGAATAAGGAAATAACAGCAAAGGTGCCTGAGACTCTTAATCAATTAGAATTGCTAAGAGTCCCTGGTTGCCTTCTGGCCACACTCTGGAACCACCAGGAACACAATGACTTCTCCTTTATTTGTGAATAGAAGTGAAATTACCCTAAATGACACTGAGTAAATCCTCCTCCCACTATATTAAGTTTACTAAGAAGGACAAAAGACATTATATATATATATATATATATATATATATATATATATATATATATTATGTTAATACATTTCCATCACTTACTTACAATTATATTACTTAATATTTCAGGATGATTATGTGTTAGGATTAACTATAGAGTTATCCATTTCAAAGGAAATCTAACAAACCTAATCATAAGCAATGAGTCAATCTTATCCCAGAAATCACTCGGAGGGAGCGTATAAGCAAAGATAACGAGGACTTGTTCATGAAAATAGGAAAAACAGTACATAGAATTTGAAACAATGCCAAACTATTTTATGTCTAAATATAAACAATAGGAGCAATGTTGTAAACCAGAGGGAAGAAAGAACTTGAATGCGAGTGCTACTAAATGTTGTCCATTCCAATAGAATAACAACTTGCCAAGATTTGGGGAGTTTTGACCTCTACTGTTACTAATCAAGTGGAGGAGTTTGGATTTTTACACAGAACTTTTATTCATATACTAGAGGCCCAGTGCACACAATTCATGCATGGGGGGGGGGGTCTCTCAACCCAGCCTGCACCCTCTCCAATCTGGGACCCGTTGGGGAATGTCTGACTGCTATATTAGGCCCAATTGCCCCGTAACTGCTCCCCTGACACCCTGATCACCCCCTAATTGCTCCCCTGCTCACCTGATCACCCCTAACTGCCTCTGCCTCGGCCTCCGCCACTGCGGCTTTGTCTGGAAAGACATCTAGAAGGCCATTTGGCTGCCTGGTCTAATTAGCATATTACGCTTTTATCACTATAGATGTATGTGACATCAAGTAATAGGAAAAACAAAGAGTGCCATTCTTATGATACGGTTCCCAGGAAGATGGGGTTCACAGACAAGGCCTTGGACTATATGCTTCTTTCTAATATAGAGAATCAGTTTTCCATGTTGATCTGGAATCAGGACACATTATTCCAACAAGAACAATTGCCTTAGTCACAGTGAGGCACTTAACACAGATGAACAAAGGAAAGAGCATCCAGTCTCAGGATTCAGATCAAATCAAAGCAGTGAGATGAATAGGGCACAGATTTCTGCCTGTTTTATTCTCCTGAGGTGTCCCAATTACTTATAATGATTCCTAACACATAGTAGGTGATCCATAAATTCATTTATTAAGTATATGCATAAATGAATAAGAAATGATTCCACATTAGTCACACTAAAATAAATCATATATTGGTATAATAAACATCAGAAAATTAAAAAAAAAAAAAAAATATATATATATATATATATATATATATATATATATATATATATATATGAAGTGTAGTAGCCTGGTTCATTTGATATTCAGCTAACAAATATTATGTTTGAAATGATTTTAAAGCAAGAGCATAAGCATTGTGCCCTTACCAGTTTGGCTCAGTGGATAGAGCGTTGGCCTGCAGACTCAAGGGTTCCAGGTTCAATTCCAGTCAAAGGCATATACCTTGGTTGCAGGCACAGGCACATCCCCAGTAGGGGGTGTGCAGGAGGCAGCTGATAGATGTTTCTCTCTCATCAATGTTTCTAACTCTCTCTCCCTCACCCTCTCCCTTCCTCTCTGTTAAAAAAAAAAAAAATTAAAAAGAGCATAAGCATTTTTTCATTTTTTTAATTCAATAAATAAATATCATGAACATATTGTGTACAATACAATGTAATATATAAGAGTAAGAGCTCTTTTGTGAAAAGCAAATCATAATACAGGTCGAATATGAAACAGGAGTGGAACACACAAATTAGGATGAGCAGTTAGGATAGCATGAGAGAAAAAAGATGACTCTTGTTTTAGTCATCTGAGGTATGATGAGTAGTAACTAAAAGCTCATGTCAAAACCTACCCTTTTGTCCTTAAAA